CCAGGAGCCTTCTGTTCGCGACAGAATTCTCTAACATGAGCAGTGCTGTTGGTTCGTGATTTTGTTGCTGAACAGAGAAGTCACAAATGGAGACTAGAGGTTACATCTGTATACAGCCATAAGACCTAGCATGTTTTGAGTGTTTTCTGTATGCTGGATATTTTATAGACATCTACTCATTTAACTCTGATGGGGTCCCACGGAGGAGGAGAGATTATTCTTCCTATTTTACAGATGAGAACCAGGGCAGGCTGTTGTCATGAACGTATAACCATCATTTAATTTATGCCCCATGACAGCTCTATGAAGCAATTACTAATGTTATTTGTACCCATGCCAGGAGTTAAGGGACAAAAGAGTTAGGTCACTGTGCCAATGTCAATAGCAAGTGAAAGCTCAGCTGCCTTTTTAGCCTCTATCTGATGGGCACTGAGACCACACTCTACTCCAGGTTAAGGAACCCTCTTCCGGGGCCACCCCACCTCGACTAGATCAATTACTGAGGTGTAAGGCATCAGTAAGATGCAATTACAGCAATTGTTCCCATTGTTGGGTGTGTAGGGGCAGACCTGGAAGAGGTGGATAGGAGATGGTGACCAACTACCTGGGAGAAATGAGAAGCCAAGAGCTCTGGGTGGCATGAGGTTCATAATACTTCCTGCTGCACATTGCAAAGGCATGAGCTGTTCCTTAAAGTTCATGCTGTTGAAGTTCACATGACCTCAGGAACTCCAGGATGTTGTTCCTCACCCTTCCAAGTGGGCTTAACACAGACACTGCCCTGGGGTGGAGTCCTTTTTTTCATCCCAACTTCTTCTGGATTGGGCTTGAGGATGCCCTCGCCAACATGTGGTCCACACATTCTAGAAGGGCAGGACAGCATCAGTCACACAACCCAGTGAAGGTTAGATGCCGTGGCTCACGCCTGTAATCCCAGTGCTTTGGGAGGCTGAGGTGGGAGAGTCACTTGAGGTCAAGAGTCGAGACCAGCCTGGGCAACATGCCAGACCCCTCTCTGCAAACATAAAAATTGTAAAATAAGCCAAGTGTAAGAATGTGCACGTATAGTCCCAGCAACTCAGGAGGCTGAGGCAGGAGGCTGGCTCGAGCCCAGGAGTTTGAGGCTAGTGAGCTATCATTACACCACTGCACTGCAATCCAACCTGGGCAACAGAGTGAGACTCTGCCTTCAAAAACAAAAAAAAAACAAAACACTACTACCACGCACAATCACAGGCAGTCCAGCAACTTCTCAGGCTCCAAGACATCCAGGCAGAGATGCATGGCCAGGGCAAGCCTTCTCTGGAGCTCAGTTCAGGCCGAGGCCCTGCCCACCTAAGAGGGACCCAGATTAGTATCTACAGCCTGCTTCTCTTGGAAGCTTGCCAGATAGGAGATTCCAATCTTCTGGAACTCCAGATGCAGCCACAGGCATTGAACTGGGACATCCCAACCTTGGCTCTTGTACATCAAGGTGTGGTGAGGGCAGTGGCAACTTCCTGATTCCAGCAGAAGAACCCTCAGTGTGCTGGTCACAGTCAGCCTGCCCAACCCTTCCCTGGTCCACTCTCAGCCCTTCTTCACCTCCTCTTCAGGTTGACCCCTGTGGACAGCATTACCTGGGCTCCATTGTAAGTTGGGCTTCTGACAGTTTTCAGCCCATCAGAGGCATCGGATGAGGCTGGAAGGAGGAAGAGGAGAAGTGGGATATTTCCCTTCCCTCCTGTCCGCTCCAGCACTTGGCTCCTTTCCACTCCAGCTCTGAAGGTGGTACCTGCTGCGGGCTGAGGGGGGCAGAGGCAGGATGGAGCCATTCTCACCCTTGCTAATCACTGATGGTTTCCTTTACCCAGACCACTCCTCCATAAATAGTCCTTCCACCCTGATCCTTTCCATGGAGCCATCTAAGTGGGTTTCTATTTCCTGCCAGGACCCTCATTCTTGTACTTAATGGAAAAAACAGGTTGGGACCAAATCTTTGTCCCATTGCCTCCCTCCACCCCCACTGCTAGTGTAAAGACACCTGAGTTGACTGTGTCCCCCTAGATTTCATTTGCACCCCATGGTGGAGAGCCTGAGCTTGACTCTATATCTGGCCTATAAGCCACACATTTGATTTGCCCAGTGCAATTGGCATTTGGATGCCATCTGAAGGGACAGAACTTCCCCCCCCAGTTCAGCCCAAGCCCCACCACTGCCCGCTCCAGTGATCAGGCCCCACTCCAGGTCACTGTAAACACCTGTGGCCCCTGTCTGAGCCCTGGAGAACTCAGCACTGGGGCCTCTAGATAAGGACCAGCAGAGGAGAGAGCTTGCCATGTGGCTATTCAGGCATATTTTTAAAACTGCTTTAAATGGGAGTCAAAAGAATCTTACTTTTCCACAAACTCACGCTCTTTATTTTTAATGGACAAACTTTGCTTTTATCATTTATGTTTTTCATTCTATGAAACAATCTTTATTTCATGGAAGCAAAACTCCAGCCACCATGGAGCCAGGAAATGCACAAAATCACGACTCTCCCCCGATTTTCTCACTCCGGGTGCAGCTGGTCCCTGGAAATGTCACCCACTTTTGTGATGTTAACATTAACCTGCCAGTGTCTGGGCAGGCTGGCTCTGGCTTTCAGCTATAACAATAATTATATGTGGCTAATTCTTTAACACACACACGGGTATACACTCACCACTTTGAGTGAAATGGTGAAGACCACCATTCAAACGGGCACAATTAAATCTGAAAATGGCTAAGCAGGTCCTGTTCAGGTTCTCAAAACTCTTATGGTTCATTGGAAGCCCAGGAGGCCATTCGCTTCTAGAAGAGCCAGTAACTAGATGAGGCCAGGCAGAGCGAGAGTCCTTTGTAAAGTTCTCTGTCGTTGTGAACGGAGGGAAAAGTTCTCAAAGCGGGTGTCTTCTACGACGTTTGAATAAAATCTGTTAGTTTCACTATAATAACACAGAACAATAAAGTTATCCCTGGTTCACACTACATAGAGAAACAAAACTATTAAAGCTATATAGAAATTATATCTACTTTTCAAAACTATATAGAAAAACAAAATCTTTCAAATAGTATCAATACTTGGGTTAAAGTGAAAGGACTCAGTACTTGATCTGAGTCTCAGGTATATTCAAAAAAGATAAATTTATGAACATTCATGTACACAGAACAAATACACACACACACCCCCTACACATTCATGTATATATATATGTATATACACCTATATAAACATATACATATGTATACACAGTTTCCTACATGTGCCTGCCATATCCTCATTACGATCAGTGCACTCATATGTGTGTGGGTATGTGTTTGTGTGTATGTGTGTAATCAGGGCTTGAACCAAAACTCATTTACAGAAGACAGATCTGTTCCCTTTGTTTAGTTGAGAGCAGAGAGGTATTCCTTCAGATGGCATAAGAGTACAATGATAAGCTTGCTTCTGGCTCACCCTAATTATAGCTGAGATTTTGTTTTAATTAAGAGCAGAAACTATTGACCTTATTGAGCCATAATTTTGAGCCAACGATGAAATCTGGATCAATAGAACAGTTGTTCAGATTGGTATGACCCCAAGTTCCTCTTTTTGGTTCGGGAGGAAGGAATACGCATGAAATTATATAGATTACATAAAAATGACCTCACTATCCATTTGTCTTAGCTTTTCTAAACCAGATGAAAGTGGGGATTAAATAGAATTTATCTTTATGCATGTATAAACACACAAAGTGGATACATTTGCATTTTTTCTGTGTCATAAAAGTCACGTTTGTACAATACTTTTTGGAATGGTAACTTTAAAATATGATCCTTTTAAAATTGCAGTATCAAATTATTTGCTTCTTCAAAACATAGCCATCACAAATTAACAAAACCTCCCAAGACAGCATACCAAACACAAAAAAGAAAAAGCAAAGATTAAAAACCGATTCAATATGGCAGAATTAACTCATTGTGCTTTCTGATATGGAGGCAACTTCCCGGGCCCGGCATCCTCTTCACTCCTTCCCGTCTGTCTGTGTGTTTACCCCTCCGAAGCCAGAGCCTCCTGAGATGCTAACACGACTCCCAGATATAATCCCAGTCTCCTCTTTCTTATTACACTGTTTGTTTATTTCCCTCCAGTAATCCACTGAACCAGTCACTGAGAGGTTAATGAAAAAACAACTTTATTCACAGAGGCTGAGAGTTTGGGATAACAAAATATCCAGTGACAGCCATTCCACCACATTTTCAGTTAAACACAGTGAGCCTGGATCTCAGCAATGGTTCCTCCTGGAAGTTCTTCCAATCACGGCTGGGCTGCAGTTTCCCAGAGTCTTCCCACTGGCCTGGGTGGAAACCAGTCACGGAAGCCTGGTTCAACATGGATATGAGAATGAATTTTCCAAAAGTCACCTCTATGCCTATGAATTATCCAATTACTCTGCCAGCCTGAAATGTCCTTTCCAACACATTGACCAGCAGGCCCTCTGGATTCAAAGTTTGTCATCATTTTTAGAGAAGTCCCGGAAACTATTTTAAAAGCTATCTTAAAGACCTCCCTCCCAGCCTATTTCCAAGAATGCGTGACTACTTGTGTCTTTATCACATGACATAAAATAAGTGACTTAGAGGTTCAGAAAATTGCATTTCACGACCTCGAAGATAACCCAGCTAGAGATGGCATAGAGGTTGGGTGCATTTCCCCGAAGTTCCAAGCCTAACTTGGTTGTGAACATCTCAATATTCTTAATTAGATTTTTGTTGCAGACCTCTGCTCCCCTCCCCAGACTGTCAGTCACCTCTTTAAGCTGCTAGAGGTGCGGGGCCGGGAGTGTCCTGCCATCAAGCCTCAGGTCCTCTGGGGCCTGGAGAGGCCCCTTCCAGCTGATACCAGCACATCCCCTTATTCTTCCCCCGCATTCATCCCTCTCTCTCTGCATTTGCTTTTGCTTGTTTCACCCAACTTTTTAAATTAAACGTAGTCCTTCATTATCTGTTTCTGAAAAATATAGCGACCACAAGCCTGGATCTTGAAAAAACATGGAAATCAAAACTCCAACATTGTCTGAGGCATATCCCCTCCCCCTCACACCCTTCCTCATGGCATGCCTTGAAATATTTTGATCCCTTAAAAACAAAAGCAAAAGGATAGGCCATCTGCTGTTGTGGGTTACATAGCTGCATGTGTATTGGCTAATGAGATATCATAATGCAAGAAGATGTTATATAGAGTGCACTTTCTTAATAAAAGTTGTTAATACACGCGTTTTCAAAGGTCAATGCTTAGAGTCAAGTATTTATGCAAATAATAAAACATGTTCCTTTTACTACCCAGAAAGAAATTAAGAGAAAACTTCTCTGTTTAAAATAAAAGTGTTACTGCTCTGGGTGGTTTATCAGCTTCTGTACCTGAACATTGGTCATAAATCCTAATCAGGCCCTACATCTTCCAGAAAACCTGAAAACCCGGGGTCACCCCCGGCACCTCCACAACTTCAAGTCGGGAACAAACCCAGCTGTGACCACCCCACACCCAGATGGGCTCATAACCAAGGCCTGACCCACACAGCAACAGCGAAGCAGGCGACGGTCATATGGGGGTCCCCAGTCGAAAGGACCACACTGCACCTGTAAGGCCTGTCTTGGGTAGTCTGCGGGCCCTCGCATGCCCGGGACGCGCAGGACCTGCGGTGGGCGGCTGAAGACCACTCCATTAGACAGGTCAAAAGTCAAGGAATCTCCCGCGGTAGAGGTCCCTGCGGATGCCCATGACCCCGCAGGGATCTTTTAAGTCTCCGTAGCTGCGCCCGGTTGCTGGGAAAAGTTTGCTTCGGAGAAGGCAGGCCAGCTCGCCCACCTGCGCGCAATGGTTGGTGACACTTCCCTGAACCCATAGGCCGTCCCAGGCAAAGATCATTTTAGAATCCTCCGCAGGTGGGAGCTGTGGCCTTTCGCTCAGCGGAGGCGCAGGCCGGGCCGGGAGAAGAACCGCGCCATCGTTTGCTTTACTGGAAGTGGAGCACCGTGTCGGGAAGCTGCAGGGGGAAATAGGAGAGGAAGGGGATCCCCAGCTGGTAAAAGCCGCCCTGGACGTGCGGGTCGAGCATCAGGGAAGCGTTGAAAGGCGGACGGAGGCTGGAGGAGGCGGCCAGGAGCGAGGCACCCAGACGGCCGCCGGGCCCGGGCTTGGCGCCCCCCAGGAGCTCGTCCCCTGCAGGCGGCTTCTGGCCCTGCCTTCCCGCCAGGATGCTGTCTATGCTGAAGCTCTTGGACTTGTCGGAGCTCTTCGGAGAGCTGCGGGAGGCGGGGCGCAGAGGGGACCCCGGGCCGTCCCCCGTGCGCGCTGGCTGGCCGACGGCCACGGCCGCTGCGCCCTGGACAGCGTCACCGGCGTCCTCGTCTGGGGACGCGGTCCCCGGCCAGTGGAGGGGCGCCGGCGGAAAGGGGCCGTCCAGGAGGGGCGAGGGGCCCGCAGGCGCTCCCTCCAGGTGTGGGATTGCGGGGCCCGAGCCCCCTGCCCCGCTCCCTGCCTCAGGTTGCCCCTCCGCGCTGCGCTCGTGCGTCTCGGCGCGGGGCCTCTTGGCCTCCGGGGCCCCAGGGCCCGGCTTGGGCTTCCTCTTTCGGCGCCGGTAGTTGCCGTTCTCAAACATGTCCAGGCAGCGGGGGTCCAACGTCCAGTAGCTGCCCTTGCCCGGCCGCCCTTTCTCGCGGGGCACCTTGACGAAGCAGTCGTTGAGCGAGAGGTTGTGGCGGATGCTGTTTTGCCAGCCCTGCCGGTTGTCGTGGTAGAAGGGGAAGCGGTCCATGATGAACTGGTAGATGCCGTTGAGCGTGACCCTCTGCTCGGGCGCGTCCTGGATCGCCATGGCGATGAGCGCGATGTAGCTGTAGGGAGGCTTCTGCGGGGTCTCGGCCCGGCCCGAGGCAGCCAGAGCAGCCGCGGGGGCGAAGGCCAGAGGCAGCCCGGGTCTCTCGGGACCGTACAGATAGAGCATGGGCGAGGCTGCCAGGGCAGACAACCGGGGATCGAAGAGGTGACTCATGGCAAGCGAGAGCCTGCGCTGCGCTCCCCGCAACGCAGGCGACCCGGGGGACCTAGGCACTGCGCCCCGCGCCGCAAGGGCCCTCCCGGGGAGCCAGCCGTGCCTCTGCCTCTGGCTCTGCCGCTCTCCCCGGCAGCTCCGTGCTCTGTCCCTTCTTCATGGCTTTAAAAATGTTAAATAATTGTTGTAAGTTTGCTGTTATATGTTGACTTAGCCCTGGAAAATAAATTGTCTATGATAAACAGTCCTTGTGTTCTCAGCCCACCCACATTAATTAAAATTTCATTGCTGAAAAACTCCAAGCTTTTCCCTCCACGTGTCTTTTTGATACCAGCCAATCGGTTTTGGGGCTATTCCTTCATTTGTTTATAGAATTAGTCTGTTGATAAGTCCGCCCACCCAAGTTGAATCAAGCTGTGTTTATTTGGAAAAATTTCCGGGCACCCAATATATAAACGCACTGATCTGATGTTTGAAATATCACGTCCACCCCTTGACGCTGTAAGCACACACAGTCAGTGAGGCAGGATGTAGACCGCGGTGGCTCGGAGCAGGGTCTGCTGAGCCAGGAAAGAGAGGTGGAGATGGGGGTGGGTGTGCAGGGGTGAGTTTTACGCTGGCCTGGGGGAGCCCCACAACCCCAGGGCCTCCCACAAAAGGCCTTTTCTTCTCCCAGGCTTAACTGGACATGTCAAGATGTAAAACGTCGAGTCTAGTAAAACGCTTTCTGAGGTCCTAGGAACCTTTTAGATCGGGGCAGGGAGGGTGTCTAAGAAGCCTGAATGTCTACTGAGAAGGGGATTCAGCCCTCTCTGAAAAAACAGGTGGCGGACCCAATAGGAGGCGGCACTCTCTAGGGACCTGCTCTCCCACACCCTCCCTTCCAGGCCTCTTTGGAAATCGGAGGGAAATTGGACTCTGGGAGCCCAGCCCCTCTGGAAGGGAAGGCCTCGGGCACTGGAAGCCTGGGGAAGAGCACCTGGTCCACAGCTCCATCGAGGAAGGTTTCAAAATAAACCCATTTAGAGAACTGGGGGCAAAAGTAAGGTCCTCCTGATGGGGCCAAGGTTGCAAGGGAGGAACACCATAAAAGGAGGCCGTGGCAGCTGGCGCGGGAGGCCTGGTATTTGTGAATGTGGGTCTCCAGCTTTATATTCTGGGCTTTCCTGTTTATAACAAGGAGGGGGTTATAACAACTTTACAAGTGCATGCAGCTGGCCCGTGATTACATTAGGCATTTGGGAAGCCTGCTTGCTCTCCCTGCATCCACCCCCCCTGGGGTGTACGCTGCTACCCACCCCCATCTCATTTTACATTTTCCCACGTCACTGTTTGAATAAAAGATCCTGAATCATGCTGATTTCGAAGGCGGCCTCTCTTCCCCACTCCACTCCTTAGGGTAGGGGTAGAGGGCACCTAGTGTGACTACTTCCTGTTTATGATCACCCCCTGAATATGAAAACACACACACTCTCACACGCACGCACACGCATTCGGGTAACCGGCGTCTCATTGAGTAAACCGTGTGAGCGTGTCAAAGAGACGAGGGAAGGGGGATGATGGCAGGTGGGTGCAGAAATGGCCCACTACATGTGGGCCAAGAAGGAGGGAGAGGCACCGAGGGCACTCACAGCGGTAGGGGGAGTGTCCGCTGCTGCCACACCCGGCTGGGGATGTGAGTGCCCAGGTAGCCTCTGAACAAGGAAAGGTGGCGGGCATCCTTTTTCAAAATGAGAAAAACAGAAATAACCGGTGTGTTTGGGGTTCCCGGGTACCCAGCCCATAGAATAAGTAGACCGCAGAGGAGCGGGTAAATTTAAAATATCAAAAAGGAAGTCGCAGGAATGGTGGAAAAACCGGTCTGGGTTTCGACACTGCCTGCGGGAGTGACAGGCCAGTCCCTGGGACAGCTCGGGCCTCCTCCCTCCGCGGCCCTACTCCTTTAACGTGGGTCCAGCGCTCAGCCCGACCCGCCTAGGTCCTGGGGGTGAACCTCTGGCCAGCAGGGGCGGGGCGTTGTCGTTTCGTGACCGCTCGCTCTCACTCGCGCACACCTTTCACCCTTGGGACGAAGAAACCTCAATGCCAGCACCTTTGCAACCCGCAGGCCCCACAGTCTCTGGGGTCACCCAACCTCTCCCGGGCGGCGCGCCCCCAACAAGCTCAAGTTTGGATCCAGTTCCTTCTCCAGCCTCGGCGCTCGCTCCAACACACCCAGACCGAGAGCTAAACCGGTGTCACTATGCAACCCTTTCCCCACCTTCCTATCCCACAGCCCGTCCTGGAGCTCCCCACGCGGCACCCGAAGTCCAGTACGCATATCCCTGCCTCTACGGAAACGCCTGCCGTCCTGGCGCGACTTCCAAACTCTAAGACAAATCCGAGCTTGAATTTGTACAGTGATAAACACTGCCCGATTTGGTAATGGGCGGGACGCGGGCGGAGACACGCTCGGTTGGTGGGCGGGGCACCGATAGTAAAGCAAAAAAAAAAAAAAAAAAAAGAGAGAGAGAGAGCGAGAGATTGGGAGAGAGAGAAAAAACAAAACAAAACAAAAAACAAATGCCCATGCTCCAGTTGCGGTTTGGAGACGCACAGCCAGCCCCGCGCTTTTGCAGAAGTGTGCAGTCTCTGGGAGGTTTCAGCTGTAGAACTCCGGCATTGCGCCCCAGCCCGGCTCCGGAGCGGGTTTGAATCCCGGGCTCCTGGGTGATTGATGAGTTTGTAACCTGAGCCTAGGAGGGGCCTCTGTTAGAAGGAACCCCGCGCTGGGGCAATTTCCATATTTCCGGGGAGTGCAGGCTCAAGCCCCGGGAGTCCGAGAGCGGATGCGCCCTCGTGCGGATGCTCTGCTGGCTGAGGACTGAGCGAAGGGCCTGCGGGGGGCAGCGGAGCCTGGGAGACGGCCTGGCGGGCCTCTAGAACGAGTGTCCTAGAGAGCCAGATGGGGACACTGAACGTTCCCTGCAGATTCATAAGCCTCGGATCCCAGAAAAGAGCGTCATCTGAGAAGTCACTTGGTGAGGGTTCGCCTCCCAGCCTGCAAGAAAAGCCTGAGATCTCTGGCCTGCCCGGATGCTCCGAAAGGACTGGAGTCTCCAGCTCTGAGGCTTGAGCAGAAACGGGGTTCAGCGTGGGATGAGGGTAGACAGCCTCGTTGCCAGTCCTGGGACAAAGCGCATGTGCGATCCTTAGGCAGGCAGATCGGAACCCAGGCACTGGTGATGAAAACTGCCTCAGATAAAAAGGCCGAGGGGTGAGAGACAAGAGCTCCTCCCACTGTGCCCCAAGCCATCCACTCAACCTTCCCCACTGGCAAGTCAAAAGCAGAAACCTGAGTTAACAGTAATCTGTGTCGCCTTTCCAAATGTCTGCATCACTTTTCCAAATGTAAAGACAGTTAACACATATACAATGTGTGTGTGTGTGTTTTACACGTATGTGTGATTCAACCGCATGTGTAGCATGTTTGAGAAGAGCTGTGGTGGAGAGATGAAGGGCTTAGCCCCTCACCTTACTGACAACCTAAAAACACTGGAGACATAGATGATAATAATATGAATAACTAAAATGTATTGAGCCATTTCGTCCTCACAGCAGCTCTAATAGAAACCTTTGTCGTTCCCATTTTGCAAACCAGGAAACGGACCGAAGCTCTGTAAGTTAACCTGCCTCAGGTGTCCCATGGGGAAGTGCTCCAAAGACAGAAAAACAATCTTATAATAGCACCAGGTGTGGACACTCAGGGCTCCATGGAAGTTATCTTGCCAACCCTTACTACCTCTGTGAAAGGCAGGCGTGGCAGACTCACCCATTTGACAGATGATGAAACTGAGGCTCGGCACAGAATACCCCAAGACCCTAAAAGTAGGAAATGGCGGCACAGGGACCACAGCCCAGGTGAGTGTCCTCCAGAAGTGGGTGCTCTGGGGTCTGACATGCTCAGGTATCTGGAAGGACTCAGAGGCAGAGATTGTCTGGAGTAGAGAGTGGGAGAGGGGCCCTCCAGAGCGGAGAGGGTGTGCAGCACCCCTGGAGCGGGGAGATTCAGGACATTATAAGTAGAAAATCCCAGAGTCCCTGCTTACGTTCCACCAAAACCCCGAAGACCTCTTCCTCCTTCCCTCCCTTCCCACTTTGAAAAGAGTGGAAGATTTCCAGAGCTGGGGGAGCAGGGCCCAGGGCCTCCCTTCTCTTGGGAGGCAGTGAACGGGACATGAAGGTAATGGCAGTCCGACTGGGTCAGTGAATGCAGAAGGAGACCCAAAAGCAGGGCAGGATTTCCCAAATGATGCACTTATTTATAGCGCACCTTTTTCCCAGAAATGATGGAAAGGCTCTAAACAGAGGCAGTTGGTGCACATGCTCTCTCTGGGTTTTTGAATAGCCCAACCCTCTGTTTTCCCTGTAGAGCAGGAAGGTTGAAAAAGGAAGGAAAACACCTGGCAGAATTAAAGGTGAGCGGCATCTTCCCAGACACGGTGGCTTTCCCTGCCAGGGCTGCACAGTACCGTGTGATAAATGCACGTCACTCAGACCAAAGATTCCTTTCTCTTTTTCTCTTCTGTGCTCCAGGTAAACCTTAATGGCTGGTCATGAGTGTTTACTATGAACAGGACACTATGGAAGCACCTTGCCAACCTATGTGAGGTTCATGAATCCTGGAGATAACCCTCTCAATCCTACTACTGTTTTCAGCCAAGAGACTGCCCCAGAGTGCTTAAGGTGATCTGTCTGATGTCACCTGAATCTTTGTAAGGGCCTGAGTTGGTGCATGTGGATTCAGCCTTAGAGAGAGTGATTCCACTGGGGAGGCCACCTGTGAAAATAACACAAGACAGTTGGAGACCCAGGGCCAGAGGGCCGCTGAGACAGGCGAGGCCCAGTGTCTCCATGATCTCGTAGCCTGGGTGGGCATAGACTGGGGTTCCAGAGCATGAAGCTGCACCTCAGGACACAAAGGGGGTGGAAGTCTCCCAGCTCCATCCCCCCTAAATGGGTCTGGGATGCCAGCAGCTTTACCAACCATCCCCCCTTCCCTCTTCACACACCCACCGCCCAGGATGAAGTCCCCACAAGGCTGACACTCAGACAAACCTAGCCCTCTGCTTTTGGTCTACAGCAGGAAGGTTGAAAAGGGAAGAGAAAGCCTGGCACAAATTACAGGTGGGTGGTGTCTTCCCAGACCCAGTGGCTGTCCCTGAAGAGCAGCTGCCAGCCTTCCAATCTCCCCTGAAACCGTCCGCCCCCTTCCTTACATGCCTATGTCAAAAAGCAAGCATTTCAAACGCCTTGGCGAGCTGAGGCCATGCAAGAGGCAGGCAGGGAACACTTCTCAAAGTTTGGGAAAGCATTTCAAATATGCGGTGCAAGAAAGCGCTCACTGGGAGGCAAGGGGCGGGCTCTCTGGGTGGCTGTGACCCGGCCTGTCCCACTCACCTGGAACAAAAGCACGGGACCCCAGACCCCCAACCAGCCTCAGCCTACTGGCACCTAAGGCATAAAACCTCAGGTCTTTACTTACCCACCTTCATCCCACTGAGAGTCAGATAGGGACGCAGGCGAACACAAGTTCCCAAGATGCCAACCACAGGCTCCGAGACCCCAGCACCTTCTCAAGACATGTGGCTCTGCCCACCCTTCAACGGGTGTTTTATCTTGGTGTGTCTATCTCCCCCCAGCTCATGTTTTCAGTTAACAATAGGTCCCCATCAACCAACCTTGCCCAACACCCCCAACCCCTTTTTTGGATGGGTGGGGAGGAGGAGTGAGGAGACCTTCACTAGCACACAGGGTTCATTTTCACCGCTGAGCTGGGAGCTCTGTTCACAAGCCTCTCCCTGCACCAGCAGCAACCCCCACGCAGTCACTGGGTAAAGGGAAGGGGACGGACCCCCGAAAGATTTATGAGCCAAGTGCAGAAGTTCCCAGGACCCTGTGTTTTCTTCTGTGTCTGGCTTCTGATCTTCATGTCTTGGTGGCAAGAGGGTCAGCAGCATAAGTGAGGCCCCATGGCAGCAGCCCTGGTTATGCCCAGAAGGGGAGTGCAGCGTAGCCCTGGCCGCCTGGTCATTTTACAGATAAAGAGACCAAGGCCAGGGAGGGGAAGCAGTTTGTTCACACAGAAAGATGTGACTTTCTCATTCCTAGCCCAGGGCTCCAGCAATTCCTGGACAAAAGTTACAGGAAGATTTGCATCTTCAGGGATAGGTCACCTATTCCAGAGCAGTGATGGCCTTTCGACCACAGACCCAAGCCCAGCCTTCGAGAGGCCCCGGCACGGCCGGCAGGAGGCAGGCAGTCTCTCTACCTGGAAGCTGTGAAAGTGCGGTGGAGCCTCAGAGGCTACACAAGATGGCCCATTCAAGGAGGCCACTCTGGCTGCAGCCTCTCTGGGGCTGAGAATGTATGGGACGCTCAGAGGCCATGGGGGTCTCTCCGGGTAGCCCATATCTGTCATAACTGGACTGTGCTTAGAGTCAGAGGCCACTCAGCCAAAACCCGCCAGGGATGCAGCGCTAATTCAATGGGAAGGTGTCTGCCATGGTATTCAGGCGCTTTCATTTTATTTGCGACATCTTTGTGATTGGCCCTGCGATATCTTCTTGCTGGTTCAGGAAGGTACAGGGTTATCAGACAGACTTCGTGCAAACTGCATTTGCGTGGTCTGCAGAACCTCCCCAGCCCAGAGTCCCTGCAGCCTGTGGCAGACACTCTGACCCTTCCATCCTCAACCTCCTTTTCCCTTCCCTTGAAAGGCCCAGAACCTCCTGAGGACCAGAAGGCAATAGGAAAAGGTGGCAGATGAGTGGATCAAGAACAGCCAATGTCCTGGGCACATGCTTTTTGTACACTGGGCAGCAGACGAGCAGGGTGGCTGCCAAGACGCAAACTGTTGGCGAGAACGTTGGCTGTTCACAGCATGTGCTGTGGAATCTTCCCACTCCGCTGGGAGCAACAGATGCCCCAGGAGCCGCTAAGCCCCCAGGCCTGAGGTCCACACAGGCACTGCAGGAGGCTGGAGTTGCAGGACACCGGGGCTGCACAGAGCTCTGAGCCAGCTCACAGCACAAGGGGCTGCCGGCCTTCTAGCACTTACCGCACCTATGCCTGTCCCCACTGAGACGGAGGAAGCCTTGAGTGACAGGGTCCTCAGATGAGTCCCACAGTCCCCAGGCCGCTACACACTAAGGGCCTGGTTCTCCACTCTGCTGCCGCTGAAGACCTGAATAAAGCTTCAGATACAGTCCTCCAGCTGCCCATGTTCCCCAAGGAACGGAAAAGCCCCCTCCCGATAACCTCCACAAGGGCCACTCACTTGGGTTTCCGGCCCCCACATAGCAGGACTTCTTTAAAAAGGCTTCCTAAAGGTGCAAAAGCCCCGCGTGGTTTCAACAGCAGGGCTGCGGGCTCTCAGCCACACGGTCGCTCTCCTTTATTTTTCGTGTGTCTCTCAGGCCTCGCCACTAACAGGACACCAACGGTTTCAAAGCTTACGAGGAGGGCAAGCTTTCAGAAAGACTTCTTTAAAACGTCTAGGGAAGGGAAAAAGCCAGCTCGCTTAGGGTCTGGAATACGCTCCTCTTCTCCTGGGGCAAATAGCATGAAGCGAGCAGAAGTAAAATGAAACCGTCACGGTAGACGCGGGCAAGGAGCTTGGGCCACCTTCTTCTGCAGCTTGGAGAGGGTCTCTCCCCACCCCTACTTCCTTAACTTCCTCCTCCTGTTCACTCAACCAAAGCCCGCCTGGCCTGGGGCCTGCTGAAAGTCTAGCACCCGGAGGCCCGGGCACCCGCACATTATGAAAAGGAATGAAACAGCCTCCAAGTTTTAACTGTGTGCCACCTCTGGGGCCACACATTGAAAGAGGCTGTGTTGCACATATGGGGAAAATTATTATGCTTTAAGCTTCCCCTAATTCTGTTTCAACACAGCGTAAAGTACCATGTTTAAAACAACAACAAGAACAACACCCGGGCTACGTTCAGCGTTCAGCGCCACCGCATCAAGCAAAATCGCCTTTAGCAAAATCATCAGGTCTTGAAACGTTAAGCTCACAAAGAACTTCAGCATTGGCAAGGTACAGCTCACCTGCCGGGGTGGGAATTGATGAAGCTTTGGTCCCCAAATTCACACATACAGGCCAGCAGGGGAGTGGTGGGCTTCAGCCATTGAAATAGATAATAAAGCCATTTCCTCAGCTACTTTTCACAAAATCTATGTTGCTACTAAAAATGTAAAAGATGAGATATTAACATTGAAAAGAAAAATAGTCTCTATTATTTAACATATTGAAAAACTTGAATTTAGAACTCTAAAGGCATCATCAATTATTTTTGAAGGGTAATGAGATTTCAAAATTTTTCACTGCAATGAGGGTATAGATTTAGACATGACGTTGAGAAGTAACAAAGTCTGAAATTCCCCTCTGATCTGGCTGCTAAGAGGGACGGATATTAGATGCTGGAAAATCCATCCCCTTCAGACCTTCATTGGCCCAGTTCAAATTCTCTGGAACACCATTAAAGCAGGCAAAGAAGCTCGAATTTTATAAAATCGGGGGAAAGCAGGACTCACCCTGGTTTGCAGTTAGCAAACGGGAAATGTTTATTCTTCCCCTCCTTCACCTCTTAAATTGGGGACGGCTGGACACTGAGAGGGAGTGGCACTGTTTTGACAGTTAGCATGTTTTTCTGCATTTAACAAAATGCATCACAGCAAGCTCACGGTCCGGTCCTTCAGGCAGCCCCCTCCAACTGGGCGGTTTCTCGAAAAGAAAAAAATCCTAGAGTGGGATTTTAAAATTAATCAAAAGCCTTTTTCTGTCACTAAACAAGACAGCAGGTGTGTGCTCCTATTCTCTGGTCATTTTTATGTGTCTACACATATACCCACCTGTGTAACAAAAATAATCAAAGCAGGCGGGTTTGCAAACACACCTCATTTTTTAAAAATGCAACAACACAAACACTGTCCAAACTTTGGGCAGAAAAAACAACATGGGTTTATTTTAAGGTAAATACAACAATTAAGACCACATAAGACAAACATAGATGAAGTTAGATTTTCTAAGTGTTTTTTTTTTTCTTTTAGGAATACTCAGGGTGGAACCTACTATACAAAACCATCACACTTTGTAAATAAAAAGTATCAGATACTTGACTTCTTTATCCACCAACAAAAAAATAAATTATTTTCTTGTTTTGTAAAAGACCTACAATGGGAAAAAGAATTATATCTCATAATTGTACAGGAAACAAAACCCACATCGGTTTCTTGAATTCAATTTGGCAGTTAGAAATGGTTGGGCAAGATGAAAAAATTATCCAGTGAACTCAACTTTAAATATTATATTAATGGCTCTGAACAACAACAACAACAACAAAATAGCCTGATTACAAATCCACACATTTGTACAGCACGGTTGGAGAAATTTAAAATTACACACAGCACATACATTATCTATAGACACCCCCATACACCTATGGGGACCCCTACAGAGAGTCCCCAGGGGCTCGCTATGGGATTTGGTCCATAACTTAACTTTTGAAAGCTCAGATAGAGCACAGCACAGCCGTCCTGGTAGGGGAGGGGGATTTTAAGACCAATACTCATTTTGTTGGGCTGCGTCCCTTTGGAGGGGGATTTCTGGGATCCCAGAAACGGGGCGGCGAATTAAAGTTACCTGCGCGCTTCACAGATGGCTGGGGGCTAGCGTGCCCGCTCTCTGCTCCCGGGTCTGAGAAAAAGTTGGAGGACATGTTTTGTTTCTTTTTTGCGTGTCTGCAACCCCTTAATTGTCTGGTTGGGTCGGGGCTGAGAAGCGAAGCCGGAGCGGGCCGGGGAGGGGAGGTTCCGGGACAGGTCAGTATTTCGTGCAGTCATAGGAGTAGGGGGCTGCGTGGCGGTAGAGAGACGGCGTGGATCTGTAGGGTAGCTGACAGCTGGCATTGCCACTCACCTGGGACTCCCCGAGGGTCGAGTTCTCAATCCCTAGCCGGTGGGAGTTGAACATCTCCCTCACGTTGGGGAAAGTTTGCTGCTGGGCCGCGAACGTGTGGCCGGGGAGGTGGTTCAGCTCCCCGCTGTGGTTGAGATACCAGGAGGCCGCCTGGGCCGCGGCGGCCCCGGGCTGC